AGAACAATACTCCGCACCTGAATAGAGTTCTCTTCAAACTGCCATCTATATCAAACGAAATTACTAGCGCGGTTAAAATGTGCCTAAAAAGATGCGGTCTTGAAAATTCCGTGGTAATCATCGAAATCCCACCTCCCACCCTACGCCATCAGCTGATCCGCAATAGACTTTATGATCGATTGTACCACACCAAAAACTGTATAATCTGCCTTACCGGAAAAGAGGGGGATTGTATGAGATCGGGCACAATTTAATTACTGACATGTAAAACATGCGGGGAAGAATGTATAGGCGAAATGGGTAGACCACTTTTCATCCGCATAAAAGAACATCTAGATAGTAAATCTAAAATAGATAAAACCAAACCTGTAGCCTTACATAGGGCACAAAAACACAACAATAAGGATTTTAATGTGACTGTCACAATCCTAGAGCAGGAATCAAAAACAACCACGCGCAAAACTCTTGAGGCATTTTGGATAAACGCCAAAAACCCCGAAATGAACCGGAAGGACGAATGCGTCACCATCACACGAGATCTCGCGCGCTTTCTTCGTTTGATGTTTTAACTTGACCTAGGCAACATATAAATAAGATTATCCAAATCATTCAAATAGACTAATACTACATACGCCCAGGCTCTGAAGAAGGCGGGTCGCCGAAACGTCAGCCGAACTTCTACGACTAATTTACCAACCTCGCGTCAGCTAATCAAGATAAGTTTTTTTCGATTTTGATATAATAAGTAGATACCATTTCTCGCTTCGAAACTCTATATCTCACTTGAAATTGCGCATTCTCCCATGGTGAAAATTAGAGATATGGTATGAATCTAATTCAATTTACGATGGGTGGACATGTTTCGAACTAGAGATTACTTTTTAATGGCGAAATATCGTCCAAGCTGTCCACTGTCGGATTTCACTGTGGAAAAATACTGAGAGAATGAGCTTCTCTCGCACTAACAAACGGACAACTGCGTATCATAGAGATGTCAGAATGCCCATGCAAGACAAAAGTCTACAGATCTTCATGTTGAGGCTGAATTCACATGATAGCGCGATCATCCTTATGATTGACAGTTATAAACACAAGGAAAACAAATAAAAAGAAAAGTAGTGGGCCAGTATATGGTGTGAGTAAAAATATCTAAGTACATAAGTAGATATGTTTTCAAAAGGTGACAAAAATTGCTTATTGTAAAACTCTAAAAAAACTGTTGTTCATACTGGAATAATGATGGATGGCACTTAGTGGTTGGAGCAAACTTTCAGGACACATTCAGTGCTACCAGTGAAAAGATGTACTACGTGTTGATGTGGTCGTCAATCGACAGTTAATCGAGACCAATGACAACAGAAGGCAATCATAAGCGGTCGGTCATTTAAGTCGACGAGGTTACCATATAAAGGTGGCAACATGCAACACACAAAACATATTCATGTTTCGCTTAACTATCAACTTGATCGTTCTATCGCGTTCCCAGTGGAGTTAAGAGCTTCAGTTGAAAACGATTCTTGTGTTAAAAAATCTCGTAAAATTATACGATAAGATAAACTCGTACATTTTATGCTATGTATGACAGAAAAGTGGTTATCCATCAAGCACATCTGATGTGAAATTCTTGCACTCTAGGTAATGTTTGGTGGAAATACTGATTTGAAACTTCGAAGACATTGTCTCAACTGAAGGTGCTATGCTATAACCCTATCATAATAATTACTACGTTAGAAAAAAATTTTGAACTTTTGGAACACAAAAAATTGTTCAGCTATTATCGAAACTTTCCATAGGGTAAAGGTACGATTCATTCTACCAGCCACAAGCGCTCGACTGTGGTCACTGCATTGTTGGGTGATTTTGTCAGCTGACTTGCGGTGATCTGTTATTCGGCGTCGATTACCTTAAATGTAGGGGTGTGTCGCCAGAGGATCGGCCGAACCAAAAGACACTTTGCTACTTGATGAGGCTGCAAACATTACAAGGACATTGAACAAGATTCGATTTATACACCAGGTAGGGCATTTTTCACAACGTTCGGCGATTTACTATACCTAGTATCACAACCATCGCCTGTTTGAGTTTGGAAGAATTTCGTTGCTAGTGTTGGAGGTAATAACTTGGTTCAGAAGAAATCGCTGTTTTGGAGCGTGAATTAGATAGACATCATTAAAATTAACCGTTTTTCCAACAAGAAGAGAGTTTGTTTAGTTCTGTGACGTAAAAATCGGTGCCTCGGGATTCAACAGACTATCGCAGAGCATTTGCTGCATCTCTCTCTGATTATGGATGCGCTTCGCCGCAAGAAGTTCTTGAAGTGCTTCAAGCAGTGATGGTCGGTGAGCACGAGGTACGACGAGTATGGAGGATTAGGCAAAACTTCATGGCCCAACATTCAACTTTTCGAAGCCTTCGTTGTGAGATATTTGGCTGCACGTTGGCTTGATGAATAGTTGGGCTTTTTTCTGATCATTTCCGGCTGCAGACATGCATTTTCCGGTGGATCTCATTAACTTGCAGAACATATTCCTCCTTTGTGACGGTTTCGCCGGAATCGAAATGCTTGAGTAAATCAATCGGCAGCGGGCTATCACTCCGTGACCATGACCTCAGATGAGTTCTTCGAATACCCTGGCAGTGGTTTTGACGCTACAAAGATAAGCAAACTCATTTCTCCTTGACAAATATTTTTTGATTAATTAAACGTGTGTTTGGGCCTAGATACGATCCAAAAATCACGGTGAAAAACGCAGTTACTTTCGCATCATCCTGTTACTTTGACGTTACATGCAATCGACCATAATCTACGGCAGGTGCGACTCGTTCTAATACATCAGTTCAGAACTTATTGAAACACTTGCCCAGATAATTGGACTCTGATCTCTTACACGTGCGAAGAAATGGAAAAGTGTTTATTTGAAAAAATTACGAAAGAAAGTTTCCAAAGAAACAATCCCGGAATATATCAATGATGTTGAATGATGTGCAAAACTATTGCCTGAGGCGGGACTCGAACCCATATTCAACCCTACTCGGAGCTAACCCGTTTTTGTGGCGACGCCTGTTTTGTCATCACTCTTTCACGCTATTTGGTATCTTGTGTTAGCAACCAACCGTCAGTTTTAAAGTAAGTTTGAGTTTCTGAAACTCTGCTTCTACTTTATTTTGCTTTATTGATTAGTCTTCACTTTTTTTTCAGTGTGCGGATCCAGAAATTGCGTTCATTCAATTCCTTTTCGTTTTCTTCTTGAATGTCGTAGGATACTCGTTAAGAAAGTTTACTTGTAATCTTGAGGACAGCCTGGCTGTGACGTTCCATAGGGCGTTGTTCTTGGACGGAGCTCTCATCTCCGTAAGTTTCTAGTACACCTTCGTGTTCGCGTTTCATACTGATTCGGACAGTTCAGACATTTTTTAACGAGAAAACTCTTGAACTATTTTAGAAAGTTCTGATAATATGGCAACATATTTCAGACCGGTTATAAGGTCTGATACGGACTTATACAGTGATAGACAGCTGTTGTTTCGCCCTTTCCAGGCTACCAGTAGCACAGCGCCTTTCGGTTCCGCCGATCCTCTGGCGATACACCCCTACATGTAAGGTAATCGACGACGAATAGCAGATCAGCGCAAGTCAGCTGACAAAATCACCCAACAATGCAGTGACCACAGTAGAGCGCTAGTGGCTGGTAAAATGAATCATACCTTTACTTTGTGGAAAGTTTCGCTAATAGTTAAACAAATTTTTGAAGGCCCAAAAGTTAGGACTTTTTTCTAACGTGTAAATTTTTATGATAAGAATATAGCATGTACCTTTAGTTGAGACAATGTCTTCGAAGTTTCAAATCAGTATTTCCACGAAACATGACCCAGAGTGCAAGAATTTTACATCTGATGTGCTTGATGGATAATCACTTTTCTATCATACATAGCACAAAATGTACGAGTTTATCTTATCGTATAATTTTACAAGATTTTTTAACACAAGAATCGTTTTCAGTGAAGCTCTTCACTCCACTGGGAACGCGATAGAACGATCAAGTTGATAGTTAAGCGAAAACATGAACATGTTTTGTGTGTTGCATGTTGCCACCTTTATATGGTCACCTCGTAGACACAAATGACTGACCGCTTATGATTGCCTTCTGTTGTCATTGGTCTCGATTAACTGTCGATTGATGACCACATCAACACGTAATACATCTTTTCACTGGTAGCACTGAATGTGTCCTGAAAGTTTGCTCCAACCACTAAGTGCCATCCACCATTATTACATTATGAACAACAATTTTTTAGAGTTTTACAATCAGCAATTTTTGTCACCTTCTGAAAAATTCTACTTATGTACTTAGATATTTTTAATCACACCATATACTGGCCCACTACTTTTCTTTTTATTTGTTTTCTTTGTCTTATAACTGTCAATCATAAGGATGTTCGCGCTATCATGTGAATTCAGCCTCAACATGAAGATCTGTAAACTTCTGTCTTGCTTGGGCATTCTGACGTCTCTATGACACGCAGTTGTCCGTTTGTTAGTACGACGGAAGCTCATTTTCACATATTTTTCTACAGCAAAATCCGATAGTGGACAGCTTGGACGATATTTCGCCAATAAAAAGTAGTCTCTAGTTTGAAACATATCCACTCATCGTAAATTGAATTAGACTCATACCATATCTCTAATTTTCACTATGGGAGAATGCGCAATTTCAAGTGAGGTATAGAGTTTCGAAGTGGGCAATAGTTTTTACTATTTGTTTATTTATTACGTGATTACTCAGCAGGGTTGATGCAGTGATGAGAAAAACCCTACGAGACAGACATGGCCGATGGCTCGAACCAGCACCCGACGTCCACCAAACATGCCATCCCACCGGGTCGGCTAGTTGATAAGAGTTTATTCAATAATCGATCACAGTTCATTTTATTTGATCGCGTGCTGCGGTGGTATGATGTTACAATAAACCCAATAATGTAGAGTGGTGGGCAAAAGTGCTTGCGTCAGCTGGGATTCGAACCCATATTCCACTCTATCCGGGAGCGCGTGCTGAACCGTTGCACCACCAACGCTCGTTTTGCGCACCGCTCTTCCTACGCTACAACGCGTTATCTGTCAACAGCCAACCGTCTACGGTGTGGCGTGGGCAGTCACATTATTGGGTTTAGAGTGTTTTAAATCATAGCAGCAGTGACTTAATACACTGGTATTCCACCGCGAATCATTCCAAAGGCTTCACGTTCATTTGATCACCACTTTTGTTTACGAATGATGAAGCAGAGTACACGGTGTATCACTCAGTCATTGATCACCGCCGAGAGCGCTATAATTCATACTTCATTGGTGTATCTCTTCATTTCTTGAAATGACGAAGAAATTGGATTCTTGATCGAATTGTGCTCGAACAATCATGAGTTACCTGTAGTTAATACTCAGGCTCAAAACTTATTGACCATCGAACTGTTTCAGATGTCTAATTTCTACAATAGGATCGATGAAACATATGGAACAGGAGTGCTAGCCGTTTTCTTAGAGATAGTTTGCTGTTTATATCGTGATTATCAAGAACATGCACCATCATGTTTCTCTGTTCCGGCCTATGTAGTGCAAAATGAACTAACAAGAGCTTCAAAGGCTAAAAAATGCTTTCACATTATCATGGTTATCATACCCACATTTACTCTAGCGTGCGTGCAGCACGTACGACTTAGTGCGACAGATTGGCCGAAAAATTTCGAGATGTTTATGTCCAGTCTAAATCTGAGATTCAAAGTTTTATATCACTCAGCATCATTGAATATGTATTTGTAACATCATAACACTACTTTCAGAGCGGTAAAATCAGTTTCAAAATAATTTCAAAGAAAGTATGTTCAAAGCCTAAGTGAAATTGGTACGCCGAAGTCACACACGCGTGTTTCGTAGGTCTCGCTCTCCTCGTCAGTGACCCACGCCCCACATTAAGCCGTGCATTGTAGCAGGGAAGGAGGCGTATATGGTGATGGTACAATGTACAATGACACTGTGCCATCACCACTTCACAGTCGACTGGGGCGCGGGTCACTGACGAGGAGGGCGAGACCTCCGAAACACGCGTGTATGGCCCTGGCATACCAACCTCGCTTAGGCTTTAAACATTTTTTTGAAATTATTTTGAATGTTTATTGCAATGTTTGAGAGACAGTCAACACCATGGTTCAGTTTTAACATAGTTGTTTGATTTTAAATTTTGCCTGATGCATTACATAATCTGGTCTTCTGGTCGCGTATACTATGCTCACAGAAAAGTATGAAGCTATCGTTTCAACCAGGGTGATAAGTAATTCTGACTTATGGCAAATGTAGTAATCAAGCGGACTATTGCATTAGTCATTCAAAAACAAGCAACTTAAAGAAGGCGTTACAAAACGTTATTCTTTCTGTGGAATTCTCGGATGTTTCAAGGATTTTAATAGAATTATTGAAAACACAACTATGAGGACTTATCGGCACTTACTTTTAAGGTACTCTCGTCATAATCTCTTTTACATTCTTGTGGAGGTATAAACTTTACAAGCTCATCATCTGTGCGGAAAATCGAAGCGTTTTCAGCCAAAAATTCATTGTTTGTTATTTCAGATTTTTAGAAGGAGCTGTACTTATCGTACTGGTCGTACATAGGAAATGTCGAAATACGAAATATATCCATAGTAAGCGCCAAAATCCACTCAAGTCAAGACAACGACATGGGTGACAGTAGAAACGTTGAATGTAGCACACAGTGGAACCTCTTGCCCTTACATGGACATATCAAAGCCTCTTCTATAGCTTTGTGATGTTCTCATCTCCATTAGTCCTCTAACTGTCAAGAGTTTATCGCTTGTTGTTCAGAAAGAAAAACCAGCGTTTAACTTATCAATCGCATAGGAGTCCGCGGCTTTCAAGCACAAACGATGTCAACAAGGGCCGTGTATGTGATAAAAAGCAAATTTAATGAAGAACGTGGTAATAAAGACTGTAGGGAACGACTGCATTGTTTCTCTCTCAGTAAACAAGCAGTATTGATTGACTATGGATTGGCGTTGCTGTCCTCTTTACTTCTTGATAATTTTCATTATTAATCACGTACTCGAATTGATCATTTAAAAATGTTTATGCTATCATGAACTCCTATCAGTAAACATGTATCATAGTTATTGATACACTTATCAAATCGAGTGTGCTGAAAAGAGTTTACATTAGTTTAACTTGATTGACGCTGGGGGTCGTTAGAGTAATCTTCGATGAATCTTATTGTGATCATCTTCTCATGTTTCATATCGATTTCGAAATCGGATAGAGACCTTTGCATTGAGGGTCCCATGCCACAGGAAAGAGTTTTAACAATTAGTAGAAATTTCCTATATTTTTGATCTTTAAGACAATTCATTAAATTTGATTTCATTGATTCAAAACGGCCACCACTGTGTCAATTGAGACCAAAGCTCAATGAAATTTTGGGGCAAAGACATTTCACAATGTTTGGAAGTGGAGTTCCATGAGTTTTCAAGTGGTGAAGTTCAGAACTGTTCAATCGAAGCTATTGTAAAAGGATACGGAAAATACAAGGTAAAGTTGATTGCTGAAAATCGTAAGATGCACGTTCATTAGCAATATAGACAATTAATCATTACGGCGCACAGAGGCCGTTTCTATTCAGAAAACTTGTCAATGGGATCAGTATAAAGATGAAAAGTATAAAAGTTTCACGTGCCTCTGCGAAACCGATCGAAGGGAGTGTTATGAAAGATCAAAGGTCCATAACAGTGTGTATTATAGCGCTTTCCTCAGAAAAACCTTCATTGCATATTTAGACAAGATTTAATGATTACAACAAAGATACTGGGACCGGCAGATGCGTCAACGAAAAATTGGAGATAAACAAAATTTATTCAAAATTTGCTCAACATCACAAGTGAGAATTTTGTCTTGAGAATTTTAGTAGTTGAAACATCGATCTTGAAGAAATATTCTGTGGAAATTAAAAAATAGGACGGTCTATTCTATGATAAGAGCACTAACAGATAGACATTACAAGAGTAATACTCGAATTCTGCAAGAGAATCACGATTCAGAACGACGGTGGGCAATGATAGAGATACCACCAATGCGCACAAGGTCAGATCAGATCTTGCACCGGGCCAAAGCTTCACACAGATGAGAAAGGGGTTCGTTTTACGCAGACTCGCCCATTAGAGCGCTTGCTCTCCAATTGGATGGATAACTACTACCTAATGTACAAAGAAAAGTCCGCCGCATGCAACAGGAAGCACATATTTGATTGAATAGTAAAGATACATACGGTATGAAAAGACTTAAGTAGTAAAACGGAGAGATATGCCCTATCGCACCGCTTCACAATTCACAGCGTCTCTCTTACGCCGTCACACCACAGAACGACGCGTTGTAGATTATCATTCTCACAAATTCAAAGAAGAAGATCGAGATTTCTCAATTGGCATCCGAACACATGCATGCTCTGAACCCTCGTGACTGGGGTGGAAGAAAAAACCAGTGTAATGCATAGAATGCTAAGATCCTGACAATAATTGACTGCGGGTTACTTTCAGAAGAGTGTTTAACTGATATTGTCAACGTATAAGATAAAACCTCTGCTATCTCAATGAGCCATCGATAGTTGTTGAAAAATTACTCGTTGCGATTTCATTGACATCCACTGACATCGTCTATAATGATCACATCAACCGGTAACTTCGATATGTGTAGGAAGATCGTACACCTCGGTTCTAGGAATCAGATCTTCATATAGATCTAAACACATTTAGCTCTCAGACTCTCTTCTGCTGGCTTTCTTCAGATGAATATGAGCGGCAAAGGCCTAGCATGACTGAGATTACCACCGTAAACTCTGCAATAGTCACATCAACCGGTAATTTGATATGAGCAGCGAGAAGATTACTTACATGTCTTCCAAAGAATCATCGTTCTATAGATCTAGAATAATTTAACTTCCAAATTTTCTTGTAATCTAGAACATTCATTACTTCAGATGAAAATGAGCGACAAAGCACTGAGATGGTGGTATACCCTACAGTGACCACAGAAAGCGGTAAATTGAATATATAGCAAGAAGATTATATACTTGAGTTCCTGAGAGTCATCTTTATACAGATCTAGATAAATCTAACTTTCAAATTTTCTTGTAATTTGAAACATGGATTTCTACAGATCGAAGGAATGGGATGGCGGTTACCTCTACAAGGGTCACATCAACTGGTAATTTAAATATCTGTAGCAAGAAGATTATTTACCTGAGTTTCAAAAGAATCACCTTTTTATAGCTCTAGACAAATTTAACTTTCAAATTTCCTGCAATCTAGTACATGCCTTTCTTCAGATAAAAATGAGCGGCAGACGAATGAGATGGTGGCAACGTCTACAGTGGTCACATCAACCGGTTACTTGAAAATGTGTAGCAAGAAGATAATATTACTTTAGTCTATAGAAATCTTCAATACATAGATCTAGACAAATTTAACGTTCAAATTCTTTTACAATCTAAAACATACCTTCGTTCAGACTGAACTTACTAACAATCGAATTCTGTTAAGATTTAGAACATTCCTTTTCTTTGGATTAAATTCAGCGGCAAGGATATGATACTTGGGAAACTCGAAGAGGGCAACGTCGACGGCTGAATAGACATGTTTGTAACTAATTTCTATACTGTAGCTCCTGGAAATTTTTTCTCTATGTAAGGACAAGTAAGGGGGAAGGAACGGCTGAGTGGTTATGGTGCCCGTCACGGCGTGGCGCGGAGTTGGTTCCCATCCCAGCACTCTCCAGTAATCAATCACGAACGCTCTACAAAGCGGCCACAGCCAGGCTATCTTTGAGACGGCAAAGAGACGCTTGAATAATATTCTACGACGCTTCGAGAAGAGGAATATCAACTATATGAATGTTAGTAATACCGGGGCACCACTGAAAAAAATTGTGAGACTGATCCAAAAAGTGATAAAAGGGAAAAGTGAAAAAGAAGTAGACAAACTTTCAAGTTTTCTTCAAATTGAAGCTTTTTCCAGGAAAGACC